AAAAAAAAAAAAAAAAAAAAAAAAAAAAAAAAAAAAAAAAAAAAAAACGCAAAAGGCAAAAGGCACAAAAGCAAAAAGCAAAATTCAGCAACAGGAACATAAACTCCTTATTTTATGTACCAAAAGTTTATATGTAAAATTAACGATTTACATGTTTTAAAAGATTTTTAAGCAGTTTATGCAAATTTGATGCAAGTTTAAGAAATGTTATAAGCCAAAATATACACGACTTTACTCATATATTCCATATTATACCATTTATACATAAAAAAAAAAAACACGCCTATTTATATACATATATATATATTTATATATGTAAACGTGAGTATTAGTTTTCTGGGATATTTTTTTTTACAAATATTTGCTTTATCTTCAATCACGCAAAAAAAATAAAAAAGAACTTTTTGGCCAATTAAGTGAGTGAAAAAAAAGGAACGCAAAGGTGGGACAGCGGCAAAAAGGAGTTGTGCCAATTGCGCCATCCGTGTTTCAATTGCCCAACTTGCCCGCGTCATCTATATATGTGTTTCATGTGGCCATTCCGCGCTCGGCGCGACGTCAAGTAGCTACTCCCGATTAGCAAATTACATTTGTGTTTACATATGCTTGTGGAGAGTATTCCCCTGTGGCACATGAATGTACTTGCAGCGGTTATATTAAAAGACATATATGTGTTTACCTCCCACAATCCACTCTTTAACTTTTGAAAATTGGGGAAAATGCTTATTTATCAAAAGTACCCATGCTGCGATTTTTTTTTTCCCCCCAAATGTATAGCACCATTTGGCTAGGACATATACTTATGCAACTGTTTTTTTTTTTCTTTTGTGTAGACTCTGAACGTTTTACTCAAAAAATAAACACAACACGGGAAGAAACAGACCGAATAAAATAAAATACATTTAAACCGAGCGTTATAGGCTGATTTGCAATTGGATATCTTTACACACACGCGTGCAGTTATCTTCTTTTAAGTGAGGCCCAAAGTTTTATCCACACAAGGTTGAGCACGATTAAAAATTTGGTACAAATTTAGCAGCTGAGCATTTTGCCAAAGTCCACTTGAACGCTTGAACAAATCAGAACAAATCCGTGCAGATCTATTTAGCGCACCGCGGAGCAGTACAAAGTAAGGCGACGCAGGTATACAGACGCGCATATAAGCAGCTAAGCCATCACGTGGAGGTGCTCACTTGGAGATACTTACGCGTAGAGCTGACTTGCACACGGCGCGTGGAAAATTCCCTATACCAACAACCCCCGTTTGTTACTTTATGTAAGTTTTGAACAGGCCAAAAAAAAAAAAAAAAAGAGGAGCGGCGAAATGTAGCAGCAATACTCTGTGCCCATGCTTATGAGAAAGTAACAAAGCACTTTCAAGAGGGGTGACTTCCATGCTTCTTCTATGACGCGTGCTGGCCGCATCGTGATCGAAACTTTTTCTATGGCTTCATTTTCCCTTCCGCATTTATTACCCCTTTTCTTCCCACAGAGTAGGTAATAAAAAAGCAAAAAAGTTCCCAAAGTCAAATGGTAACAAATCCTGACATGTTATGGTTGGTCATCGCGAGTGGTGTAGCATGTTTTTTTATGGCATTTGTGACAGGAGCAAATGATATAGCGAACACGTTTAGCACATCCATTGGATCCAAAGCATTAACCATTAAGAGAGCTTTAATAATTGCCTTCTTTTTTGAGGCATTAGGAGCTTCCTTACTTGGTGGAACAGTCACAGACTCTATACGATCAAAAATAATAAACTTTGAAGCCTTTTACGATGCGCCAGAATTTTTGATGTTAGGTATGTTTTGCGCCCTTATGGGTGCAACCATGTGGCTAGCTATTGCCACATGTCTAGGGTTACCTGTATCAACAACACACAGTATAGTAGGAGCATTATTAGGCTTTGGATTAGCAGCAGGTCATAGTAAGTCAATTAAATGGGAAAAGATACACAGTATAGTGATATCATGGTTTGCAGCCCCAATTTTAGCAGGAAGTTGTTCAGCCATAGCCTTTACCACAATACGCCATTTAATATTAAGGAGAAGAAATTCATTTCAAATAATTAAAAGATCTTATTGGTTCCTCATTTTTCTGATTACTCTACCGTTTAGTGTGTTTTTAATATTTCATAACCCCATAGTGATAAATATGGAGTGTATAATGAAAAAGGATAAACAGATCGTCAGTGCATCTCCATGTTATATTCAAGATTGGACTGCAGCTCATCCTTTCTACTCTACGATAGCTTCTTTAGTCCTTTCGAGCATCCTCACATGTATTGGATCCATCCTTATCTACGTAGTATATAATAAGCGGTTGAACAATTTTAGCTTTAGGAGAAAACTTTTTGGAGATGACATGATGAATGATTTGGAAAAAAATGCCAAAGACGTGAACAACAACACCATTTGTAACATCAAGAATAGTAGCCTGAATTCCGTTGCTTCGAATGAAACCCGAGTGACGCAACCGAAGGGAGTTAGCGGAGCGGCACAGCAACAAGGGGGTAGCGGAGCAATAGTAACAGTAGCAGCAACAACAACAACCGTAGGAGGAGGAGCTTCTGGATTAAATTGTGAACAGACGAAAAACCAAGCAGAACAAAACTACCAAACCGTTATTAGCATGAAAAATATGGACGATAAAGTTGAAATTTTGGAAAAAAAAAAAAGTGGAAACTGCATGAGAGCTAGCAGCAGCATTAACTGTGACAGCAACAGTTCTACTGGTAATATAGCCCAAACGGTGATCGAGAATTTTGACCAGCAGACGGAAATCGTTTTTTCTTCCCTTCAAATCATTAGTGCCATTTTAGGGGTCGTGGCCCAGAGTGCAAACGACACAGCTAATGCTATAGGTCCTTTTGCTGCAGTTTTTAACACGTACAATAACGGTATTAAGGGAAAGCTAAAAGTCCAGTGGTACATTCTGTTGTTTGGAGGTCTGTCCATGTCCCTTGGTCTATCCGTTCTAGGTTATCGAGTTATTAGGACAGTGGGAATGAAGTTAATTAGAATTACTCCATCCAGAGGTTTTACCATTGAACTTATTTCCGGGTTAGTGGTCCTACTTTTTAGTATCTGTGGGATACCGCTGAGTTCTACCCATTGTGCAGTGTCTAGTGTGATTGGTGTGGGTCTCGTAGAGGCAAAAATATCGGAAGAAAATGACATCGACGCTGGAGCCAACAACCAGGGGATGAAGCTACTGGGCAAGGAAATGTCCCAAGTGGATAAGAATGGAAATTTACCTGTAAAGAAGAAGAGCTTGTTTTCGTTCCTGTCGTTTTTGAACACCTCCTGCGTTAACTTGAAGCTCTTTAGGACCATTTTCCTTTCCTGGATCATCACGGTGTCTTTTTCGGGTGAGCCATCTTGGAGGGGCATTCATCGGAGCGTTAATCGGAGCGTTAATATGCAGCATTAATAGGAGCGTCATTTTGACACTCCATTTTTAACTTTATTTTTTCTCCCATTTATACATTTTTTTTTTCTTTTCCCCTTTTCCCTTAGCCTCCGTAACCGCAGCGATATTCTCCTTTGCAGCCTACAGCCCGTCGTACTTTTCAAAGGGGCCCGCCGTAGTGGCCGCATAGTTGGACTTTCCCTTTTTTTTTTTTTTTTTTTTTTTCTTAAGTGCACGCGTCCTGTATGAATACATGGAACAACTGCGTGTGTAGGACTTTTTCGTCCCAGTTTATCTTTCGAGTTTAGCCGTCGAGTTCACCCCCGTATATATGTTGCTATGTACTTACCCCCCCCTTTTTATGCCGCGATAATTATTTATACCCATTGGATATATATACCTTTATACCCATTGCGTGCACACACACACAGGTGTCTCTTTTGCATACATGCGTATATTTATATATGTATATAAAAATGGATCCCGCTTCATCCCCCCCTTCTCTTTATCCTCCCTTTTTTTTTTTTTTTTTTTTGTTAATCCATTTTGAATTAAAAATACGCCTTTTCCTTTTTATTTATTTATTTTTTATTTCTAATTTCTCATCTTCACACCATGTAGCTTTTTTAACTTCACAAGCCATTTTAATTAAAGTTTATGTGCCAGTCGTACGTGCATAAGCGGCAAGCATAAATCAGCCGCCTGTGCCTACGTTTGGCCACCTACACATTGTGTGTGTGTGTTTTTGTGTCACTTATTTCTTTAATGTGTTTTAGGTATAAATATAATGTATATATATATGTGTATATATTGTATTATATATGTGTGTATTCTTTTTACCTTTTATTTTTTTTTTTTTACATTATTCATGAAAGCCGAGAGAGACGCCTGTTATACATCCACCCCATTTATTCGCGCAGATGCACCATATATTCCCCGTGCTTTGGCCTCCCCAGGCATCTGCACCCCGCCACCATTGTTCGTCCATCCACCCGTTTGTACATCCGCATCCATGTCATTACGTATGCCCATATACATCGTTTTCACGCCACACGGTACACGCATCACTATTACGTAGCACCTTCACACGCACCTCATCATGGTAACAGTATTGCATCCCCACTCATTCCCTCCATGAACGCTTCTAATTATCAACTCCAAAAAAAAAAAAAAATTGTTTATTTATTTATTACACCCTTTAACCATATGTGTAACGTGCACATGCATTTGCATGAAATTGTGTATACTTGTTTGTATGTGCACCAGTACGTGGAGAACCAAAAGTGTTCTACATTACATGCTTTAAAATTGTACCTCTAATTAAACATAATTATTTCTATATGAGTGGGGGAGCAAGACATGTTTAAATGTGCATTTTTATATATATTTTTTTTTTTTTTTAAGGGCGGGGAACTTTTCTCAACATTTACATCATCCTCCTTTTTTTTTAGGAGTTCAGAACTTTTATCAATACAGCTACCGGTGTGATTATGTGACATGCCGGAAATGTTGAATTCCTCCCACCCCTACACATGTTTGCGCGTATGTCTTATGTATACATATGCCTACGCGCATGTTCTACTGATGTACGTGCTTGTGTGTACTGCCCTTTTTGGTGCCTGTACATATGTGTTTGTCGTTGTACCTTGTTATATATGGGTGGGAATAATCCCCCCGATACATAGTGTATTTTTTTTTTTTTTTCCCTCATTTTTTTTTAATCATATATAAATGTACATACACGCCAGTAAAAAAA